TCTTGTGGTCTTCGTAATCGTTCAAACTCTTTTAACACACAAATCTGCTGCTTTAGTCGATTTAGTCGATTTGTTTAAGTGTTTAGATTTTCCTCGGCTTAAACTTTTACTAGTTAACAGGTACTTCCACCTTTTATAACTGTTTCTTTTTAGTTTTCACTTCGTTCTTCGTCGCGGCAGTTTTTCGAGGTGTTAACGCACAGTTTTTCTCTTTGTTCTTTTAATTTATCTTGATCGAGCCCCCAATAATTTGTAGGGCATTACAAATTAAAATTTTTTTTCAGGTATAGTTAGGTAAATTAAAGAAATAAAGGTTTTTTTATTTTAACTCCACGACTTTCACTCTATGGATGAAACGACTTCTTCTGACCCATATCCAATATCGACTGACTTGTTTGAATTTATAAGGTGTAATTTTTGTCAGGAAGAGGGTGATGGATATAGATCACTTTGATAAAAGGGATAGGAACTGGTTAGAGTTTTTGGCTGATGAAATATGATATGAGGTTGTAGAAATCTGAACAGTGTGTCCCCAAAAGAAATTAAATAGTCTGCTGTAAATCCCTCAATATATCCATATACAACTATAATGTCATACATATATTCAACAACTTTTTCTCTTTAATCAAATCGGCAAAAATCTTGTTTACAAAACGTTGAAATACTGCTGAAGCATTTTTTATGTTGAATTGTTCCGTTATCCAGGTATTCATCTAACAATTTTTGGAGCTGGTGCTTTTTACTATATTATAGTCGCCTAGGTGAACCACTGAACGGTTTGGTCTCATAGGTAATATCATTACCACACCTATAAGCCGGATCACCAACTACCATGATGTTTAACATATCCTCTTTAAATCATTCTTCTAAGGCGCTCTTTCGCGGATTTTCAGTAATTTTTCATGACAGTTGCTTTTTAAAACTCTTTTTTTCAACAGTCTCTTCTCTTAACAGTTGCTTCTTAACAGAAGAAGGAGAAGAGTCTCCCAACAGTTGCTCCTTAACCGACTCTTTTCCTCTTTTACTTCTTAACGGTCTCTTTCTCACTTGTATTTCTTTGCCGATCCGCATACCATTCACTTACCGATTTCGAAATTTCAAGAGGATGACCCTTCATCGTATAAAACAGGTTAAAGTTGTCGGTGTTATTATTGAAACGTGAAAAGTGTCAAAGGTGTCTAGATTGATGCTCACTCCACAAATTTCCATGAAATCCCTTCTTATCCCTTCACTGTCAGAATGTTCGGGGGCTTCTTAGTAAACTCTCTACGCTTTATATAAAAAGTTCAATTTTTGAAGCCAATGTTATTGTACTCACTGAGACCTGGCTTGACCCATCCGTACACGATAGTAAGATTTTGTCTAATAACTTTTTTGTTTATCGGAAGGATCGTCAGACCCGTCGAGGTGGAGGCGTTCTTATTGGAGTCAAATCTAATTTAACTTGTGAGTTTGTTGATATTTCTGAATCATCAGGTATTGAATTCATTTCCGTAAAATGATCTTTCCCAACATTTTTTTTAACCTGCTCGTATATATCTCCTGGCTCTGAATTTAACGTGTATGTATTGCACCTGTCTGCCATACATTCTATCTCCTTGTTGCTTACTGAAACTGACCAACTTATTGTGCTTGGTGACTTTAATCTTCCCAATATCTCTTGGTTGGAGAGTAAGGACTCATTGGCAATGATTCCTAGGATGAAAAATGATTTTATTGATGGTCTTGTTGAACTATCTTTGCAGCAAGTTAACCGGATTCCCAATCATATTGGTCGTCTTCTTGACTTAATCTTTGATTTTGATAGTAGCGATGCTGAAGTAAGTCGTATTTCGCCACTATCTTTACCTGAAGATTGTTATCATCCTACCCTTCAGCTCTGTATTAACGGATTTTCTAATAATCCTAGGACTGCAATAAATGTACAGCCTAGTTTGTCTTTTAAGAGGACTGATTACGGCAGACTAGTGAAATCTTTATCGACAGTAAGCTGGTCCTTTCTAGTTGACCTTCCTGTTGATGATGCAGTTAGGTACTTTTATGAGATCCTTTACCGTTTATTTGATGAACATGTCCCTCTTTCCTCCATGAAGAATTCTTACAGCTCTCCATGGTTTACCCGTCAACTATCTTATCTGAAGAATAAAAAAACCAGACTATTTAAACGGTTCAAAATATCCGGCTTACAGACAGACTTCACCAAATATAGTTCAGCTAAGGTAGAATTTGTGCAGTACAATTCTGATTGCTACAAAAATTACCTGTCTCGTTGTAAGCGTGATTTCAAAAGTAATCCTAAGCTTTTCTTTTCTTTCGTCAATTCTAACCGAAAATCTAGCTGCTTCCCTCCCTCTCTCTTTCTCAATAATAATGTAGCATCTGATGATAGTGATATTTGCAACTTATTCGCAGACTTTTTTCAATCCACTTATACGAAATGCAATAATGTCATTAATAAAGATTATCCATACGCACTACCTCATTTGAACTCTATCTTCAAACCAGTGATTGATGTATCTGATGTTCTTCAGAGTCTTAATACTCTCAAGCTCTCATTTTCACCGGGTCCTGATAGAATACCAAGTTGTATACTTAGGAATTGTTCATCTTATCTTGCTCTTCCCTTAACATTGATATTTAATCTGTCCCTAAGTCAAGGTAGATTTCCATCCATATGGAAGGAATCCTTTATTATACCATTGTTTAAAAAAGGGAACAAGTCCGATATCTCAAACTATCGCGGTATTGCTAAACTCAGTTCTATTCCTAAACTTTTTGAAAAAATTATTACCTGTCAGTTGCAGCATCATTGCAGGTCTATTATTTCACCTTGTCAGCATGGCTTCACTAGATGTCGCTCTACTTCTACAAACCTACTTGAATTTACGTCTTTAATTACTAGAGGTTTTCTGACACATCATCAAACTGATGTGATTTATACCGATTTTTCTAAGGCTTTTGATTCAGTGAACCATAGGATTCTTATTTATAAATTGTCCCTTTTAGGTTTTCCACCCAACCTACTAGAGTGGATACTTTCCTACCTTTCTAATAGAACTCAAATGGTCTGTTTTAATAATAAAATTTCCAAAATAATTAATGTTTCTTCTGGAGTGCCACAGGGTAGCCACCTGGGACCTTTACTTTTTGGCTTAATGATTAATGATCTACCTTATGTCATAAAATCGTCAACTGTTTTAATGTATGCAGATGATGTCAAGCTATGTTTGTCCATGTGTTTACCTAATTCATATAATGACCTTCAATTAGATCTTGATTGTTTGTATACGTGGTGCATGACTAACATGTAGAATTTGAACTATTCTAAATGTAACTATCTATCTATCGACACAGATGTTTTCTCTGGGGATTATCTTCGCTGGCCGACTTTCCGGGACCTTTTCACGGCAATATACATAGATAATCCGAGTCTAACGCCCGTTGAAAAATTAATCCATTTAAATTCAAAAACAAGTGGCGAAGCTCATTCCATAGTTTCAAGATCCCTACTCACCAATGATGGCTTTCGCTCAGCCTGGAATAACTTAACTGAGCGTTTCGAAAATAAGCGATTGCAGGTGAACAGTAACCTGAAAACACTTCTCAATGTGCAATCCATAGCTCAGGAGTCGGGAGCAGCCTTAAAAGAACTTCAACGCACTTTTCAAGGTTGCTTAACTTTCTTAAAATTTTTCGGTGTTAATATTGAGAATTGGGACCCTATCCTGGTTTATATCTGCTCGACAAAACTACCAAAGCTCACTCTCTCATAATGGGAGCAATCCATCCAAAATAATGCCGAAATTCCTACGTGGCTTGAGCTTGATTCCTATTTGACGGAGCGCCATTGAACTCTTGGGGCCGTCGATAGCTTCCGATCTGCCAATTTCCACCACGTCCAGTCCAAAGACACAAATCGAGTGGCAGAATTTCCAAAAATAAATTCCTTCAACACAAGGCTAGTTCCGATACCCAAAGGCTGTGATCTGTGTTCGAAGAAGAACCACCCCGTGCGTATATGTCCACGCTTCCACAAATGACGGTAGACGATCGCCTAGCCTATATTCAAAAGAAGCAGTTGTGCTCCAATTGCTTTGCAAGCAGCCATCAATTCCGGGATTGCACAAGCGCTCACGACTGTCTCACTTGCCAAGATCGCACATTGCTGCATCGAAACAGCGGCCCTACTACTCCGCCGACTCCATCCGATCCTCCAAGGCCAGTATCCGCCTCAGTTCCACACATCATTTCGTCCTATTCAGCGCAAGTTTCCGTACAAAAAGTCCCTCCTAAGAATACTCCATCCGAATATTGGGATCAATACCCCGCCTTGGATGGCAGACGTACTCGAGGTATTAAATCCTACCAATGCCGAGTCTGTCAAAATCCATCCTCTGTTGTTTACGTCAAAAGGGCGTTTAATTTCAGGAGGCAGTGTCGAACGGCCGTTTTATCCAGATGTCTACATCTCGCGCTCTCGCACTGCCGTCCGCTCTCCCTCTCCATCTCTCCCCTAAGTCTCCGCTCTGCTCTGGAGCGCCTAAGTTAAGTTAGGCTTAAGCAGTTCTCATTTCCAAAAGTACAAATAAACATCTAAGCCCGTCGCGTAAAAACCCCAAAGTACTCCCGTGTTTTTTGGGTACCACTCGATCTTGGGGCTTCAACTATTCACAACGATCAAGCCACCCATCCCCAACAACGGGTATTAATATTCTCGTAAGTACCTATCGATTAACATAAAAAATAAATGTTGCCACGCATATATTACGCCCTCAGAAATTATCAAAGCTAGAATTGGGATTTTAAATTGAGATTCTTTAGCTTCGTTCGCAGCGCAAGTTTGTTACGCTAATGTGCCACGCCCACATACCACCCAAAACGGTGGCTAGTCATTCTTAGTGCAAAGAACTAAATTTTAAATGAAATTTATTCATTTCCTTTTGATCTCCTTAGCTGAGTAACAATTTTGTGATAGTCATGGCACGCGACTATAGCGTTAATAGGTGTTTTTGTTTCATATATTTTATTGGATCAGAATCTTATTCTTCTACATGTTACAAACTTTTCGGGGTTACAATTCACCATTTTGAGTAAAAGGGTATAAATAACGCAAGAACGCAGTTCTGACGAACTGTTGGTGCTGCAGAAAATTAACCATACGTCTTATTTATCGAAATAAAATGCTGTCAGGCGTGCACAAAGTTTATGTTGTTCTGAGCTTTAAATTATTCATAGATTCTACTGTTCTACATTTTAAATAAATAAAATAAATGCGTGTATATATTAGGTTCCTCCCTTTCAGCTATACTTTGCCAATGACATTCATTCATATATGTATAATTATTGTAGGTTCTTAGTCTGCATTATATATTTCTATTTATAGAAAATAAAAGCATGTTTTTAGATTAAATGACATTTGACTATGTGGAAAGCCAATTGGGATACAATCGTCAAGAGTCGTTTCCGATTTTAAAGTATTATCATGCCGTGTAGCTGTTCGCCGAAATCGTAAAGCCGAAACGTTGCCTTTTTTAGTTTTTACATCTAAATACATTTCTAAGTCAGCGAGTTTGCTAAATAAAGTTTTAAAATCTCGCTCAGCGCTATAAAGAAATTTACATCGTGGAGTAAAACTTTTATTTTTAAAACAATTGAAAAGTCGTTGGATGCGAAACTCAAGCTGTGTCATAATATATTTGACGTTAAGCTTTGTCACGGAATACACATCATAAACCAGGTGAAGATTATCCCCAGCGGCACATTTAAAAACCTTGGCGGAATAATGTTGTAAAAAGTCAACATAGAGCTGGTAGCATTCCAGATTTAGCTTTAATTTCCAATTTTTTAAAATAATATTTTGAGTATCAGCGTAGTAAAAAAATATTTTTTCAATAGCTCTTAGGGTTTCTAAGCTGTATTCCATTGCTTCGTCGATAATTTCTGAAAATATTGTATGAAAGAATTCCATTTCAGCAAAGTAGTTTGTAAGATAAACCTTAACAAATGTTGGTTGTGCTGTTGGAATTTGCCGAAGTCTTAATAATAGTTCATGACTTGAATTTTTTGACATTTCAAAAAATTGTTCACTATCCGTAGAAAATGTTTCAATAGTTATTGAAGTTTTGTAAAAAAACGTTGACAATTGGTGCATCCTGAGGATATAATTTTCTACGCTTGTAACATTATTTTCGGAGTCACTAAACAACGTCGACGCCGTGAAATTTTTCTGCAGTCTTTCCAAGAAGTGTCGTAACTTATGTTGCAGATTGTGTTTACTGCCATCGGACTTTTCAATGGATTTATAAAAGTATTCCGGAATTAGTTCTGCTCTAAACGAGTGTAGCCAATTCTGTGCTCTGGGTTTTTGTCGAATACCGCTGACATTAAATTGTTCAATTTGGCTAGACCATGTCAGCAAGCTTATAAACGTAGCAATAAGTCTTGTCCAATTCATTGCGAAAGGTACGGTAATGACCGCGCTGCGTTGAACGACCACTAAAAAGAAAATCATGAATTAGGGCTGAAATGAAAACACTTTTTTAAAGCGAAATATTCTATAAATAGCTCATGAAGTATTTTAACAAATGGTAAAAATGGCTGTATAATATATGTATGTATACGTATACACTAGGGTTGTCGAATATTTTCAAAATATCGTACCAATGATTTTTCTAAAAATAAAATGTATTCGATATTTTTGATAATTTTTTATTTTAATTAAAAGTTAATTTTTATTTTTCTAAAACAAATCTACATAAGTTACACACAAAAAAAATATTTGGTAAAATTTACTAATAAAATATTTAAGTCCATGCCACCAAATAAGCGATTTGGCCTATTTAATAGTTATTCCTACGTAATCTGTTATCGTAAGGGTTACCGTAAAACTATAAAAAAGGGTAGAATGGGCCCAACCCATCGAGTGTAATTAAAAAACTATTTTTATACTTTTCTAACCCATAAACAGCTATAGTTACTGAATTTGTTATAATATATGTTTAAAAGGAATTATTTAAATTCAGAAACGAACTACGTACTTTGCGTTAGAGCAGCTGGGAATGTAGCCTACGTTAAGCACGGGTTGGTTCCGGTATTAGGTTTCGGTAGATGGGAACGGGGATATATTAACGCAGCTACTTTCTCTAGATCAGAGATGCTCAGCTCATAAGCACGCGGGTCACATTTGTTTTTGTAAAGTCACAAAGCATGCCTGTGGTCACATGCCCATATTGAATAAGGCACACGTCGATTCTTCTTTGTGTCGCAGATAAGCGCGAGCCAAGCCAACAACGATTCCATTGAACTTTTTTTCGTCTCAACTCACAACGCAAATTGTTGTTGTCTTGTTCTCGACTGTACACTGACACTTTTTTAAACTAAGTTTTTGATATAACTTTTGATTTTAGTTTATTGTTGGTTAGCGATGCGTGCTTTTTGTTCGATTTATGTCGGTAAAAAAAATGATAGAGTTGATTATTTGGCAATCAATTTTAAATTAGAAAGGCAATGCCTTATTTGCCACAAAGTTTTGTTGGCGGAAAAGAAATATTTTCGGGACAGACATTTTAGGTCTTATCATTAGTCGGATGCCGGAAAAGGCGTAATTCCAGAATATAATGACCTTTTAATGAGGTTTTAAAAATTCTTAAATTTATTGAAAACAAGGAAGAACGCTATAGTCGAGTACCTCCAAAATCAGATACCCGTTACTCAGCTTAAGGGACCAAGGGGAAGCAGCAAAACGAGATTGAAATGCACCACCTACCCGTGATCTCAATATATTATTATATGGGCGGTAAACAGATTTAAGCGTTATGGGCGTTCGAGTGGGCGTGTCAAATTTGGATCAACCGATAGGTACTGACGAGACCAATACATTTCAGTTAAAAGTTGTTATCCAGCCTGAAAATTGTGGGCGCCACAGGTTTGGGCGGTTTGTTGGCGTTAGAGTGGACGTGGCATACTCGCGTAACAAACTTGCGCTGCGTACAAGGCTTCGGAATCTTAGTCTGAGATTACAATTCTCTATCTTTGAAAGTTTCCGAAATTTTCGCGTTCATACTTACGATTTTTTGAAGTTTGTGGGCGTAAAAGTGGGCGTGCAAACTTTTTTTGAGTAAATCGATAGGTATTGATGAGAAATATGCATTTCAGTTAAAATTTATTCTAGCATCAAAACTGTAGGAGCCACAGTTTTGGGCGGCTTGTGGGCGTTAAAGTGGGCGTGGCACCCCGCTGAGACAAACTTGCCCTGCGCGGGAATCTCAGAAATCTGCATGCCTAATCCCAGTATTGCATCTTTTATAGTTTCTGAGAAATCAGTGTGTTTACGTGTTTGATGTAGAACATTGAGTATTTTAAAGTTTTCCGTTAAAATGTTGTTTTGGTACTTCAGAGCCTGGTTGATGTAGTTGTAGAGAGTCGACCGACATTGCCCATCCAGCGAATAGTATACATTACGCGGTTGCAGCTGTGCCTTAACAAAATGCAGCAGGCGGATCTCCCGTAAAATGGGGCCAAGTCCTAAAAAGTGCTCGACATTTTCCTGCTCCCTCATATTGCAGATCGGGCACAGTGTCGCTGGCTGTCACGTTTGGGATATAGCTTAGTGGGAGGATTTCTCCCCTGGCCATGAAAGGGGTACGGATTTTCTATGTACTAAATACTTTTCGACCATTGCGACCATTGTGAAGGATCGCCTAACTGTAACCTTTCTCCGTAGGTCTCGGCAAGCGTCTCCCATTCTATGACCCATCACTAGAATTCGTTGCAGCCTATGTTCGGGCATGGTTACCACATTCTGGATATACCTGAAATGCGTTTCAGCTGTAAGGATATGCAGCGGCGACAGACCTGTTTCAAGATATAGCATCCTGTTCGGGGTAAGTCTGGGCAGACGAAAAATTTTCTAAAACAGGCTTAGAATTCAGTAAGATTATTCAATTTTTTGAACCAGTTTTTAAGCCGATCGAGTAGTACCGCAGAAAAGACTTAAGCTTAAACATTTTGAAAAGTGAGAGAGAGAACGCTCTTTGGGACTGTTTTCGATTCCAAGAACTTGTTAAATGCAATGACTAGGCTGGCTTTGAATTGAAAAGAAGCGAACTTTATGAATTCCGATGTTATCCTGTCAGGCCGGGGTGCTTTTCTTTCTTTTAACATCGCATGAACATTTTCCACTTCTCGTCCTGTTACCCATCCAGCGATAGAGTCCAATCTAAAGGCGCGTGAAGATCACGGAAATGGTTTCCTAGGTCAACTTCCATTGATTTTACAAATTAATTTCCTTTGAGTTTCCTAATAGTACTCCAATATGTCCCGCTATCTGTTATGGAATCCAATGATCCCGCTAGGTTAATGTAAAATTGCGTCTTAGCGTTTAGACAAGTTAACTTGTATGCGGCGTTTGCCACTGCTTTTGCTGAGTTTGTTGATTTGACCTGCCATAGCAAGTTGAAAGAAAGTATTCAAGCTGCCTCACACTGCTCCGTTGTAGTATGCACATATATTGAATAACTACTGTACCTAGAGTACTTGAAGCAAACACACTGTAACACTTTGTTGCAGTGTTCACATAAACAAAGGCCCGGTCAAAAACCTAAGTGGCCGAAACATGAGTCGATCGGCGCGCTCACAGAAAGTGCAAGTGTCAGCATTCTGTTGCACACGCCGGCCGCTCAGCCAAACTAAATTACATACATATACCCTTGCGCTCCAGCTAAAGGGAGCATAATTAAATACACTAATATACATAAGATATACATAGCCGTCTCTCTGCCATCCAACTGTAGGCAGCGCAGCTACGAGACTTAGGCTTACTTAGAACCTAAGGAGAATTGTCAAGTCAGAAACAACTTGACGTTGCTGCTCCAGATTTTGAATAAAGATTTTAAATAAAGAATTACAATAACAAATAAAAGATGACATTACTCTACACCGTGTACCACTCTTGTATAATGTATCGGGGCTTTTTTCAGCCTCGATTATTAACGTTACAATCTCTTATGCCCTTTCATTTAATCGAGCATGGTTTAAAACCTCGTATAACTTCCCAGAATCTCTTTGCCAATAATTGCAATTAATATACACTGGCAGAAGGTGCAGGTTTTCATGTTCTACAGTCCTCAGTTGGACAATAATTTTCTCATCTACATTTATTAGACTGATTATATTCTGTTCGTAAAGTTCTTTTTTTGTTCCATATGTAATTCCACCACTTGCTCGTCCTCTTTGACTTCGACAGCATCCAATTTGGTTTCAAGAAATGTTTCAGACAGAATGAAAGTTTAAAACGACGCAATGTATTGAAAGAAACCACTATATATAAGCTAATTTATTTTTATTTCTGCCACGTTATAGGACAATATTCTGATCTCCAGTCTCTTTATGGTATCGGCCTCTTCACTAGGACTACATCTAATACATTTATTTTTGTTTCTTTTTAGTTTATTGACTTTGACGTATGATTTAGGAACGCATAACTAATGTGAGAAATTTCCATACTGTTTCCGTATATTTCCATAAATGTTGTTTCAGCTGGTTTTCCTTGCCACATAAGCACCTTATTATTATTAAACGACATCCAATTTCCATCTAAGTTGATACTATCGTCTTGGACTTTTACGTTTGTTTCCCTGCGCATAGCCAGAAGAATATTTCTTAGCCCTAGAAGAGCCACTTTATTCGCTTGTTCTCCACTGTCAAATGCTTGTCAAGAAACACCTGACTTTCACGCAATTTATGACCATTCTTTCAAATATTCTCCGCTTCTCCTTGGGGATTCAAATTCCACTGAAATGAATTTGGAGCGCACAGTGGTCGCCCCCATAGGTCAAAAATAAAAAAACAAAAGATAATATTACTGCTAAAAAAAGGTCAGTACTGTCTCATAACACCTCAAAATTTTTTACTCTGCTGTTATTTTTGTTTTGCTCCATCTGTCCTCTTCAAGAATAAGTGTTAAACATAGAGCAAAACATTTTATTGTGCTGCAGTGTGAGCGACGCGTCGCGACGTTTCAAGTGAGCTTGTGCAACAATAAATAAAAACAATTTAAAAAAAGATTTGATGCAAAATGGAAGTATTTAATATTTCAAATACAGGTATAAACTATTATTTTAAATTATATTCATGTACTAAGATTGTTGTGTCTATTTTTAATAATTAAGTTAATATTTGTCCGTTTTTGTATAAAATTTGTTTGTAAGTTAAAGTTTCACTAAGACTTTTAGTTGTGAAGTTAATCGAAGTTAATGATCAAACTTATAATAAAATATAAACGAATATTTACAGATTATTTAGAGAACATTTCAGCTGCTAGTTTTTGCTAGCCGCTGCGTAAGCTTGAAAAGAACCACGTGGTCTCGCCGTTTTCGAGCATTTTTTTCGTTTGTGTAACTGTGCTTATATGCTGATATGCTGATTTATAGCAGGGGGTGTAACTTCAATAGTTGGTTGAATATAAACGTTTTGTTTTTTTTGTTTTATTTATTATATTTTTATATAATTTTGCAAAAAAATTTAAATTTTTATCTACACTAGAAGTATTTTTGGCCGCTCGCTCCATACATGCCCGACCACTGCGCTATGGAAGCGACAAGATATAGTGGTACGATCCGGTCAATTTTTTTTCAAATATATTTATAATATTTTTATAGATTTTTGGTGAAAGTTTCATGCCGATAGCACGTCTAGAAGTATTTATGGCCGCGGCTCCATACAAGCCCGACCACTGTGGAGCGGCTCAAATTCGATTTTTCCTCTTGAGCGTTGCTATGCCCATCTTGCGCTGTGGCCGTCTTTTCTGGCTTCCGCTGTATTTTGGTTCCACCAGTGCAAGCCTACGTCTGGGTGGGTTTTTCCCCTTTTTCTGCATAGCTGTATCTCAGGCTAACTTGGTGTTGTTTACGATGTGGCTTGGGCTCTTTTCTGCTGAGCCACTTGCGTAGAGGTCTTCAAATAACATCAGTACCATCATCAAATTTAGCGTTTCTGTTTTGTACCCTGTCACGGTCTTACAAACTCATGATGGGCCTGTACGTATTTGACTTAGCAGATATTCGTTCGCTACCGATAGTTTTTTTGACCTAAGTAATTATGAATCGGATATCCTGCTCTGCACACATTTGCATATGTTAACGGGTCTTAAACCATATGAATCCAGCCGACGGTTGTGTCTTCACACCATCTGTCATAACTCTTCAGAAAACTTAACCCGACCATCTGGTAGAAGTAATGGCTTATTAAGTTTATTTTATCTATACTAGACCTAAGTAAATATCTTTGTCATTACAAATCATGTTTGTAAACCTGGGTCCATGCTCAATAAAAGTACGAAAAGAAATCTTGGTGAATTCACTTCTCCGCAGCCCAATTTCTTCTGTCCTTGTTGCGGCGACCTTTGCCACTAGTTCTGTACCGATTCGGTAGAAATCCTACATTTGGTGACCCCCGAATTTTAACCGCAACAGTTGTTCAAATTGCTAATCCAATCCAATCAACCTCATACTTTGTTCAAATAATGTTTCCAATTGATCATGCATCATTGATCACAAGTGTGATTAAAAGTGTGATGGTCAACTAAACGACAAAATCATTTTGTTTTATTGCTTTATCAACATATTGATAGTCAACACAAAATTACAGTCCTAATAGGTCAACAAGGCGACAGCAAAATATTGCATCAGAAAAGAGTAAAAAGCTAAATGCATGTGCATCAGCTGGAGCTGAAACACAATTTATCTGTTTCTTTTGTAAGAAACCGAATCATAGCATATGTCGGGTCACGCAGCCGCAGCAGCTAATTAATTCGATATCTTATATTAATTGCATCGCGAAAGGTAGCTCTCTCTAGCTCTAGCTCTCTCGTTTTTTGTGTACTTGCATTCTTGGGCCCAGCATTCGGCTGGCTGTCCCTTTGTAAAATCAGTACGAATTCTGACCTCGACATTAAATGAACTCTCGTCTCGCCTGCTGTACTCTCTCTCGCTAATAAATTGTTAACAAGCCTAAAGCAACCTGAAATTCGTATTTTAATTAAGCAATAACTAATAAAAAAGCTTATTAGTTCAACATTGGAGACCCCGACGTGATTTGTGCATAAATAATAATAAGTGCAAATCATATAAGTCTATATATTGACTTTTTAGTTCTTGCGGCTGCGGTGCATTGGCGGAGCAACAATCATAAGGCCTTAAATGCAGTGAGCGCTATAAATAAACAGCAGTTGGTGATTTCGGAAATTTACATATAAGGCGCAAAATCAGCTTTACATAGAAGCGTACATAGCCAAGTAACGGGCTGTTACTCCCTCGTTATCTTTGCGCTCATCTTCCCGCTGGAGCCGAATTTCGGGCATTTCGTCTGCTGTTGTTGTTGTAGCCATGCCTACGGGAACTTTTAAAGATGTTACCGCTGATGCAAACAGTGCAATATTTTTAAAGCGCAAGGCAACGGCTTTATTTAATAGAGTGGAGCGCTTAGTGGATTCCCCTATCGGTGTTAACATAGTGCGACGAATCCGGTCTTCATGTGAGGTTGGAGTTGATTGATGAGCTTCAAGAGTCATTTAAAAAGGTGCTCGGTGAGCTCGAAGAATTGGATTTCGGGGAAATTGAAAGTGATTTAAGTGAGAAATTTGATGACATTCTCGTAATTCTGAAGTCATCGGTTCGATCCGAAATTTTAAAGCGCGCCTCACAGCTTCTTTCGCACTCAACTTTTGCTGACGGCATCACCCCGGGAGTTTTCGGCCCCCAGCAGCGTCAGCCTCGACATAGGGCAGCATTGCTGCCCCCACTGGAGCTTCCAAAATTCGCTGGAGGATATGCAAATTCGTCTGACTTTTATTCTATGTTTACCACGATCATAGATAGTCATCCGG